TGTGTGATTTCGGTCATCTCAACGAATGAATGAGCTCCGGCGCTCAGGGTATCAAAAGGTATCAGAAGAAAGGGTAGATGATCCTCAGAACTGAATTGAAGCTTGAATTTTCAAGTTTGTAAAATTTCTACCGGGATTGTTTCGTTTGCAGTAAGTTAGTGCGTGACGTCGAGCAAAATTTGCAACACGTGACGCCTGCTTGTGGGCAATTGTCGGCTTGTAACGGGCGGACGGTGCCGCCATCTCTGGGGGTTCGAGACAGGACGTTCCATGCGATGTTGGATGTTACACAGCATATCCGCTGCTGTCTTAATACCCATCTCGTCATCTTTATGTGGAGCCCCTTTTCTTTATTTTCCCGCGCTTGGAGCGGTCCGCCCAACTTCTCGTGCGGATGGACCACCAACATCAGACTTCAAATAGTACCTTGGACTTGCGCCGGGAACTACTTTAGACTCGTTCCCTGAGGACCTTTCGGATACGGATGGTGTGACTATCATGGTCAAGGGCTAGCAGGATCGGGATCGAGCATGAGAGATACTAGTGGCGAAGCTACAATTGTCCCTCTCGACGCGCGACGTGCACGCTTCTCCGCAATATCCCTTATCGTGGGACATCGCCTCTCCTTTGGAAATGATATTCTCGCTTACCCATCACACCGGAGCGCAAGTAACTCGTGCCGCCCTTCCCAGATCTCTTGGAAAGTGGGCAAAGGTGGCAGCGCGAACGGCGCCACCGGTCGGTGTTCATACTGTTTGATGGCGCGCGTTTGCGTTCACGTTTAACCGAGTGCCTTACCGCACGGATTTGACTCCATTTTAGCCCGCCAGTGCTGCCACCTCCTCCCATTCGCCGACCAGAGCCTCTTTGGTCTAGCCTTGTGTGAACTTGTCAGCCCTGTCGTCCAATCGCGGATCATCCAGAGCAACCTGCAGCATCCTGGAGTATACATCGTGCCTTTAGAGCCCTTCCAGCCCTCCCTCCTGCACAACCACGCTCTCCTGTACTCAAATGTGGTGCTTTGTGTCTCTTATTCCCCACAATTCTCTATCGGTTTTCACATGCGTGTCGCTTCATTCCCTACCTACGTCTGGTCCAATGCAGGAGGGAACGAATCTAAATGGGAATATGCAGCTTCGTAGGGATAGTCTCCATCGATCACTCACACTCAGCTTACCCCACAGTCTTGGAAGATGGAGCCAAATCCTGAGGCAGCTCCTCCTCAGCCAGTCAGACCCAATTGTAGGTGATCTGATGACGGAATGGCAGCTCCATCCGGCAACTGATGACCGGAAACGTCTTCTCCACATTCTCGCATTGGGCGGGCGGCAGGGCTTACCTCAACATGAGGTACAGCAGGAGCTACGTCCTGCGGTAGCTGCGCTTGATTGACCTATGTCAAATCAAAATAATAGCGCTTCTTGGTATTGATTTCCCTTCTGTTTGCTCTCCACCTAAATCTACCCTTAAGACCTTCTACCCCCTTCATTGCTTCCCCATTACCACTTCATCAATGCTCTTTAAACACTATATATGGTCAAAGAGAGATGGTGCCCCAAGAGACTATCCCCGTAGTATGCTTCCTGCGAACTCTCATGCCTTGCATGGCCACTAACCAACAGTAGCAAGCCACGGTTCTGGGTGTGAGTTGCATCGGCATATTTCCTGTCCGCTAATACTCACGAAATTCCTCGCATAGCTCATTGGGACGAGTAAGTTCGACCATCTCTTGCATTAAATTAGACTAACGAGAGGACAGTGTGAGTTCCGAGTCATCCACGTAACGCACATTGAGTCTACTTACACTCTTTGAAGATTCTGGTGTATACAGGTACAAATCCACGCACGATATGTCATCATTGCTTATCGCATTCCAACACGTTCATAGTTGATCCCACAGTACGCTCCACTCTACAACCTGCGTGGTTGAATCTCTAATGGAATACAGGATATGGAAGAACTGGAGACGTAAGAGCGCCGATGGCGTTCCTTTGGTTATGTTGTTCCTCTGGGCTGCAGGTAATGTTCAAGCATGGTGATAGTGAAATGAGATAACGGCTGATGACCCCAGCGCACCCCCCACTCGGTGCATATGCGATCATTCAAGTAACCACCTCCTCGGTTCGCGTTGTCCAGGTCTAATGATGTGCAGAACTTCAACGTCCCCGTCCAAGTGCAGCCGCAGGTATTCATTGTACTTTGCATGATATGCTGGTCACAGACCGCCTATTATCAAAGGTGCAGTAGCTACCTCGGGTCTACGAGCGCGCAGTGCTGATACCATTCAGGAAATGGCCTGTCTGGAAGGCATCTCTCGCTGGGTTGGGTATCGCTGGCATACTTGCGGCTCTGGAATCTGTCCTGATCTTTGGTCTACGTGTGAGTCGACCACGCTTTACTACCTCAAAGCATACCATAGTAGTGACTGATGCAATATAGATACCTTACAAACACGGGGTATCGTGGCCGATTGATATGCTCAGCATTATCGCCACAGTAATGCTTGCCATCGGTCTCCTTCCGCCTTATTGGGAAATCTACAAGTGCAAGGGCCGAGTTGTTGGATTGAGTAAGTCTCCCGTAAAACTTGTGGCCGTAGTATCATTACTTGCCTGTCTGATTCTTGCATCAATAGGCATGCGCTTCTTGACAATCGACATCCTTGGCGCTTTGTTCTCCCTTCTGGCTTTAGGTATGGAATATCAACGCTTCATTTCACGGCTTAGAAGCTGACTAGACCCCAAGCTGTGCAGAAGACTTGGGATATGCTAGGTGGCATCTCCTACATTGTCGCGTAAGCTGCTGTCAGAGCCATACTCACCGTCAGAGATCTAAGTCTTTACAGGCTCCTTCTCGAATTCGGAATCATCGGCTGCCATTTGGTTTGGCTTTTTCGCACCCGCAAGACCAGACAACAAGCAAAGAACGTTGGCCTATCGTATGACGAGTATGTACAAGCAGACAACAAGGAGGCCAATCAGCAACGCGTCTCTTCCGAAACCCATGATCCTAGCCAGGACCAAGAACAGCAAACGCAATCGGACAAGGAGCCACAATTTTACAGTGTTGTATGAATACCACTTGGATAGCGCTGGTGTATGAATCATCGCAGGGATTCTTTTTCTCGCCAAAAGCTGAATTGCTTCTGGGAAAAGTTCGCTTTTGCGTTTCCATGTTCGGGCCGTATTTTTCGGCATTTATGTCATTGGGCTTCACACCTGCTTCATCCTTCAACTTCAAGATATCTGTACTTCTTCAGAACATTGAAAAATTTATTGACCTCTTCTCACGTTTTCAAATTCTCAAAGCCGATTCGAAGCCTCTTTCACTTTTCTCACCGCCCTGCAGTAGAGGGATCGCGGGGTAGTACAGGCCGACCTCGGCAGCCTACGGCGGAAATTCGCTCGCGATAGACCCTGAATATCGTGTCAAGATTTCTTTGCGCAGACATCATCGGGCTTGTTTCTTCTAGCCTTAATTTCTCATGTCTGAGATCCATTCGCCCCTTGCTTCAATGGATCCCTCCTCCCATCCATTCGTTCAAATCACCAACCTTCCCAATATCCGAGACATTGGCGGATATCAGATCGCGTCTCCCTCCATACCACGCTCAGTCCGAAGAGGGATATTCTTCAGAGCTGCCGACCCTTGCAAATGCGACGCAGCTGCGATACAGCGCCTGCGTGATGAGCTGGGGATATCTACAATCTTCGACATCCGGGCAAAGCCCGAGATGGACAAGAACGTAAATACAGAAGGCGATGTCGCGGCATGGGAGAAACGCCTGAAGGACGTGAGTGCAGATGGGAACGGCACAATTGAGCGGGTGTGGGCACCTGTCTTCAAGGAGGAGGACTATGGCCCGGAGCAGGTTGCGCTCCGCTACAAAATGTACGGCACGGAAGGCACGGAGGTGAGATCACCACCAGCTACCCCGGAGATTTCCAGGGGGTTTGTTGCCGACAGCGTGTACGGCCCAATGATACTCATGGCAGATCCGCAACAGGGCTTCACGAGAGCGTACAAGGCCATCCTCGAGCACGGCGTCCCCAACTTCGCCCGCATCTTTCGCCATCTAGCTTACGTAGATCCCGCGAAGCCAAACCAAGGCGTCTTGATACATTGCACGGCTGGTAAGGATCGCACTGGTGTATTCACCGCAGTGCTGCTGTCCCTGCTTGGCGTTGACGACGACACGATCGCGCATGAGTATACGCTTACAGAGATCGGCCTGAAAGAGATGAAGCCGTTCTTCCTGGAGCGCATAATGGCGAACGAGGAGTTCCAGAAGCCGGGTGGGCCTGGCAGAGCGGGAGCGGAGAGAATGGTGACGTGCACGAAGGATAACATGTTGGCTACGCTGCAGATGATGAAGAAGATGTATGGTAGCGCGGAGGGCTACATTCGCGATGCGTGCGGATTGAGCAAGAATGAAGTGGAGGCGATCAAACGCGTCTTCACGGTTGAAGGGAAGAACTCTGCGCTTTAGCGGGCGCTTTTTGAGACGGGACTTGGATTTCTAGGATACCTTATAGAGTTCTGGTTTTGGGATGGGTCATTAGAATATTAGAATATATTTTGTCCCATGGATCAGAACTCTTGCGCTAATTACTAGATTCTATCTCGAAACCGCGCCTGTGTAAGCTGTGTGTAAGCTATATCTAAGAAGTTATGTTGAAGGTGTGTAGAAGGTGTGTTAAAGCTGTGTAGAAGTTGTGTTGAAGGTGTGTTGAAGGTGTGTAGAAGCTGTGTTAAAAATATGTTGAAGCTGTGTTGGAGTTGTGTCAAAGCTGAATGCAAAACGTAGCAAGCCAAGCACAATATAGTATTAAAGATTGCTATTTTGCATTTGAATTTACTTTGCGACTGGCTTTTAATTCCATTGCACTACTTTTCAGGTGCAGATCGTTCATCTCGTGGACGAAATTGAGTGGAAATCTGGCTGTTCACAAAAAGACGCTATATATAGACTAAAAAAAATTCGTCTCATGTGATTTTCGGCGTTCATGGTCTAACGGTTAGGATTGTTGCCTTCCAAGCAATAGGCTCGGGTTCGACTCCCGATGAACGCATAGTCCCTCGCATCTTCTTTTTAATTCATTTTTGGACAGTTTCTACGCTCGATCGATATCTTTTTGCTTTTTGGGAAAAGAACAGCCACAAGAGCATGCTATGTTCGACTGGAAGCGCCCACCTCCCGCCTCCGCAGCAACATTCCGTCACGTTCTTCTCGTCCCAACAAGCACCAGCGGTATGAAAAAACTTCTGGCAATCCAATCAAGCTGTAATTGGGTCCACATCACGAGATGAGGCAAACTTGAAGGTGAACTAAGAAACCACCAGGCATAATTCTGCACTGACCTCGCCGTAGCCGACTTCCCCCTTTCTTCAAGCCACTTATCTGCCAAATTTTAACTCAGCGACAACCCTGTCATACCTACCTTCGAGTATGAACATCTCTATCGAGATTCGAGTTATGATTCTATTTTCTGAAATGCACAATAATGACATGTGCATAAACCTGAGCGGATCAGTCACTTCTAAGCGGCTATCAATAACCAGGCTTCAGAGGAACCTTTCGGGAGACTGGAAGGTGTCTGAGAACCCCGAAACCAATTAATTCCTTCAGCCAGGTCCTGGAGAGCGCATTTCAATAGGACATATCTAGGATCCAGCCTTTCATGCACTGCTCTACGCAAAATCCTCGTTTGCGATCTCGTCTTAACTCAAATCAATGTTTCCTATGTCTGTAGCTGGTTTGCTTGCTTAAAATGATTGAAAACTTCCGATACATCTTTTACCCCTTCCAGACCTTGAAACAAACTAACCATTTTCTTCCTCGAGTCCTCCGAGCTTAGCATTGGTTTGGTATCCTCCAAGAACCGGCTCACCACTCCATTTGAATCTACCCAGGGCACGTCAGGCAGCTCCTCTTTCACCGTTGTGCCATCTGCTAATGTCACTTCTACTCTCGCAGGTTGACGTCCTTCGCTAAAGCTCTGATCATATTCCTTCGCAGCCTCGACGACGCACTCGGCAGCCATCTTGGTGATAGTCGCATCATGGTATTTCTTGAAGAGCTGCTCGGAGACATTACCGTTCAACAAGGCTCCGCAGACTCCAAATTGGATGCTCATCTTCGTCTCCTGAATGGTGGAGAAAGGGCCTGGATTGTCGCAACCTGGGTAGTTCTTCGCTCCGATCGTACAGTCCACGACCACTCGTTTGATTCCGGCTGACAGGTCATGGTTTTTGGTGCACCTCAGCGCAGTTGCGAGTGGCGTCTGAGCATAGTTGCAACCTGGCACTGGCTTGAAGCGGATATCCATCAGACCTTTACCTATTTCGCCCGCGAGTCCCTTCCTGAAAAGCGACTCGCCCTGAGAAGCATTAAACGCAGCAAATAAACCTGCTCTTCCTTCCAGAATGGTCTCGCTACACTGCATTCCGGCGTTTGCGAGGTCGAAAGCAGCAATACCTGATTGACTGGCGGTGCCCATCTCGACATAAATCTCCGTCCCACCAATCCAAGCCCACTCGTTGAAGCCACTCGCCATGTTCGCAGCAAACGCCAGGGCATTAACAGCAACCTCTTCGCTAACATTCGTCGCGGCAATTGCAGCAGCCGCGGAACCGAAAGCTCCACAGATACCACTAGGGCGAATATGGCGGTTATACCCAGGGCTTTGCTGGACAGCTACGCCTAGGAAAGATGCGGCATCATATGCTCCAATGATGCCTTTAAGCAGCTGCTCGCCAGTCCAGCCCTCGCGCTGAGCGAGAGCCAGGGCAGCAGAAATGACCATGCTGCCGATGTGCGAATTGGATTTGAGATGCATGTCGTCTCGTATCGCGCTTGAATGATGTTAATAAATGTTTCACCGAAGGGAAAGCATATGAGACTCGTACCTGTGAGCCAGGACAGAATTAACAAAGGCGGCAGTTTCTGCTGAGGTGTCCTCTCCCAAACCCCAAGCATATGACTCTGGTACTCCCTTTCGTTTCCGAGCATATTGGACTACTTGAGGAGCCCATGGCGCTTGAAACCCTGAAGCAACGGCTCCAAGATAGTCGAGGACTGCAAGTGCTGCTTTCTCCTTAAGATGTGTCGGCACATTATTAGAAGCAATCTGTCTAAGTCGCCGGGCAGTGAGACGAGTGAGACTGTCCTGACCAGTTGCATTTGTCGCTCCGTTCGTACTCATTGTTGCCTGTCACTTTCCAAAGCGGATGATGAGACGTAAGACGGGGGATATTGGGTATCCTAAAATAGGTGTCAACTACGAGGATATTGTGCGGAGATATATGCAAGGCGTTTATAGTGAGATTTGGAATATACAATTTTGATTGGAAACTCAAACTTTAGGCTCTAAACAATTCAATGCTCGTTACTTGGTTGTACTTCACCTCGGGAGATGATTGATGAAGGGGTGCCCTCCGGCGGAAGCGGCCCATCCGAAAACTCGGCGGCAACGAGGAGAGAAACGACTACCATCTATTCTACAACAATTCCGGGATTTCGGTGAAGTCTAAGTAGAAGCCATTGAATGTTCCGACAATGTCTGGGAGCACATCGGACTATTGTCGTAACAGTACTCCGTGCCTTGACTGGATTCGGCCGTCCTGATCTCTGCCAACTTCGGGAAGCGTCAATCCAGTCTCATGGGTTTGCAAGCCTTGCATTGAACTGCATCGTCATGCAATGCACCTCTATCTCAGTCATTCGCATCGATCTACCAGGGACTACCTCAGACGCTTCTTTTTTCGATAGGTAGTTTCATTGCTCGCTTGATTCAAGGTTGACGCTTCAAGGGGTTGATCACAACGTCAGTATGATATCACTGGGGTTGCGACAAGGTTTTCTTTCCAGGTTCTCTCAGTTAACAGGGGCATTATATTTTTTCGTATACCACAACTAGCATGTACAATCAACTTCATCAAAATGGGTTTCTTCACAGTCATCCATAACATCTTGGATTACCTTCTCTCCTTTGTGCGGCTCGTAAGTGGCAGAACGCTTGGCAGCCAAAACATGTCCTGACTTCACGTCCTCACAGGCCCAGAATAAGGAGGTCGGATGGCTAAGCCTGGATCGCAAGGTTTCTACAATGCGCCCTCGTAGATGTGTGATGCTAATATTTACTAGAGCGGAAAGCTTATCCGCGAGCAGCAACCGATTCTGAAGAAACTCAAGCTACTGTTCCTCTTTAATCCCGTGACGAATTGGATCGACACCACACATGAAATGCGACTATGGACACACAAAAGAACGATGAGAGCTGGTGTGCTCGCTCCTCCGACAAGCTAGAAGCTGTGCTGGAGAATGCGCTAACATTGAGACCAGGCCGAGAAGAGGGGCTGTACGGCTCTAAAAAGCAGATCAAAGGATTTGTAGAGACTTACCACATCAACATGGATGACTTTGAGCCGTCAGATATAAATGCTTATCCGACATTCGAAGACTTCTTCGTACGCCGCCATGCTCCTGGCGCCCGACCTATCCACGAGAAAGATGATCCGAGGAGTGCTGTTGTTGTCGCCGATTCACGGGTCGTGACGTACGAAACAGTCTCCAAGGCAAAAAAGCTCTGGATCAAAGGGCTCGACTTTAGCATTACGAATCTAGTCATGGACTCGCAGCTAGGCCCAAAGTTCGACGATGGCTCGGTCGCAAGTTTTCGACTCAGTCCACAAGACTACCACAGATATCACTCCCCGGTAACGGGCACGATAAAGCAGTTCCGAAGCATGCCCGGTGACTATTATCAAGTGGACCCAGTCGCGCTGGACAGCCATGTTGACATCCTTACGAGAAACGCAAGGGAGTACGTGGTAATTGAGACAGAGGACTTCGGTTTGGTTCTATTCGTTGCAATAGGAGCGACAGATGTCGGAAGCGTCCGGTAAACAACCCATCTCAATCCACACGTTGGGGTTTTGCTGACGGCATATGCGTAGCATCCATGAGCAGTGGCAACAACCGGGAAGTAGAATTAGCAAAGGCGACGAGCTCGGCGTGTTCCAGTTCGGTGGCTCTTCCATTATTGTCGCTTTCCAAACTGGAAGGATCGAATTCGACGAAGATCTACTTAACTGCAGCAGCCAGCGCATTCAGGTTTCAGTTGAGGTTGGCATGAGTCTAGGCAAGGCGACCAAATCGAGCTCTTGAGACATAATCTCAACGAACTTCCTGGTCGCCAACAGTACGTCTACGCTGGCGCAATGCAAAGAGGATCTTTAGGCTTCAGTTCCGCCGCTTTTTCATGAGAACGGCAATTGCGAACGAAAGATGGCCGACTCTGTTAATAATATCGAAATCTCCCTTCTAGATGCGGCGTTTATGCAAGGTAAAATGGGTATCAAAATTCTACCACGTTCGCACCCTTCGACATCACAGTCGCGTGCACGCTAGGGCTGGCGTTAAAATACTGGTAGACGGACGATTCACGAACCGATTCCCCCAAGCAGAAATTCACATGAAGTCACAATGACGTAAATCGAAAATTTATGACAAGGTACGCACGTAGCTCTACATGCATTAAGCATATCATTCTTGAAGCGAAGACTACGGTAGTTTTCATCTCAACGAGTGGAAGTAACTTTCAAGCATCCTTGAACAACGGCCTTTCTCTCTTTCCATTCTCTTTCATCAACACGCCATTTCAAAGTCATCGATTGCCTTCCTCAGCCAGTGAAAACCTCACGTGCAATGACACAGGCCGTGCTTGCTGAGCATTACGATGTTATTATCCTCGGGTATGGCTCCGCAGGTGCGAACGCAGCTCTTCAAGCTTCGCGATGCGGCGCCAGGGTCCTCATCATAGACAAGGCAGACAAGGCCGGCGGAAACTCATTCGTGTCCTCCGCAAACATGACTATGCCCACCGACTTTCACAAGAAACAAAAGTCGGACGGGCTTCAATTCTCACAATATCTAGGAGAAGTCTCTCAAGGAACGACTCCGAAACGGGTGATTGATGCGTACGTTGAAGGATTGTATGAGATTCCCAGCTGGCTGGAAGAGCTTGGTGCTGAGTGGGAAGAAAACAAATTTGAGCGGATGTGGACTTAC